CTTGAGTGCTTGCATGGAGGTTCTAGCAGGAAGTGCAGCTGACTTGCAGGCTCTTGACTGAGGGGCCGGCCTTCCTCTATTGGGGGTGGTCGTCTCTTTGACCCGAAGCCAGCTTCGGGAGGGACACACGTGAAGCAGTTATGCAGAAGGGGACATCTGTCCAGCCAGCCAGGGCAGCCAAGTCAACCCAGGTGATCCATGCAGTGGGGTGACAGATGTTGCAGCCTGATCATCCTTACGACCCTCGTTAGCCATTTCTGTTTGCTGTTGACCAGTGCTAGTACATTCACATCGTTGTGCAACTAGTCTCCAGAACTCATCTTGGAAAACTGAAACCCTGGACCCACTAGACAGCTGCACCCCATTTTACCCGCTCCCGCAGCCCCTGCCCATCATCATTCTGATTTATTTCAGTAAACTTGACTATTCCAGGTGCCTCATGTGGTGGACTCCTGCAATATTTGTCATTCTGTCCCTGGCTTACCTCGCTTGGCATGTCCTCAAGGTCATCCGTGTGTGTAGCCTGTGTCAGGATCCCTGCTTTTGAAAGGCTGAACACTGTTCTGTGTAGGCATGTGTGTATGAGCCACATTTCGTTTATCCATTAATCTGTTGAGAGGTGCTTGGGTTTCTTCCATGTTTTTGCTAGTCTGAATAATGCTAATAGGAAATTGGGCATAACAGTATCTTTTTTGGGACTTCGCTTTTGGATCTTTTCATTATGTGCCCAGAAGTTGGTTTTGGATCAGATGGTAATTCTGTGTTTAATTTTTGAGGCACCACCGTATTATTTTTAGCAACTGCACCATTTCACACTCCCACCTACAGCGTACAAGGTACCAGTTTCTCCATATTTCACAGTACTTACTTTCTTGTGTGATACTGTCCTAAGGGCCATGTTGGAACCTCCTGGATATTTATTTATATATATTTTTTGCAGAACTGGGGATTGAACCCAGCGCCTTTGCACTGAACTACATTCCCAGCCTGATTGATTGATTGATTGATTGATGGGTTGATTGGGTCTTGCCAAGTGCTGAGTTTCCCAGGTGGGGCTAAAACTCACAATCCTCCTGCCTCAGCCTTCCAGAGTGCTGGGATTACAGACATGCTCTATCATGCCAGGCTGTATGATTTTTTAAAATAATATAAAATCTTCGTTTTATTGCAAAGTTAAAAGTGCAACAAGGTACACTCAGGGAAGTCTCACTTTCATCCTGACCTCACTCTGCTCCCTTCTTCCTCATAGGTATGAAGCTGTAAAAACATTTTTGTTAAGGCAGGGTCTCACTATGTAATTTAGGTTGGCCTTGAACTATGTAGCCCAAGCTGACCTTGAATTTGTGGTGATCTTCTTGCATCAGCCTTGCAAGTGCTGGCATTACAGGTGTGTGCCACCATGCTTGGCTCTTTGCAGTTTTTATGTATTCCTGTTACCTTTGGTTTTTGGTGTGTGTGTTCTGTGTTATTTTTCTGTTCTCTTACACGAAGTTAGTACACTGTGTATGCTGTTCTGCATCTGAAATCCATACTTCAGAAAAACTTCTAAAGCTTTATATTATGGAATGTCCCAAACATATATAAAAGTAGAAAGGAGTGAGGGGGCACATGTCTGTAGTCTCAGCATTGAGGCAAGAGGATTACCACTTCCAAGCTAGCCTAAACTAGGTGTGATGGCTCACACCTGTAATTTCAGCACTCAGGAGGCTGAGGCAGGAGGATCACTATGCATTTGAGGCCAGCCTGGGCTACACAGTAAGTTCAAAGTCAACCTGAACTGTATAGGGAGACCCTTTCTCAAAACAAACAAATAAATGAACAAAAAAACCCAACAACAGCAACAAAAACACCAGCCTGGACTGTGGTAAGACCCTGTCTTTAAAAAAAAACAGGTGGAAGCTGGGCGTGGTGGCACACGCCTGTAATCCCAGAACTTGGGAGGCTGAGGCTGGAGGATCTTTGCAAGTTCGAGATCAACCTGGGCTACAAAGTGAGCTCAAGGTCAGCCTGAACTGCATAGAAAGACCCTGTCTCAAAAAGACAAACAAAACAAAATAAGACAAAACAAAAAAAACAGGTGAAAAGAATGTTTTAATGAACCCTCCATAAGTAATTGTCAACTTGTGGCTCCATTTGCTTTATATATTTTCTTACCCATTGCTCTTCCCCAATGGGTAGATAATTTTTAAACAGATTGAAGCATCATCATATCTGTAAATAGTTTACTATGTACTTTAGTATGTAGTATGTAGTTTTATGTTACTTGTAACAAATACCTGAGGCAATCACCTTATAAAGAAAGCAAGCTCCTTTTGGTTTATGGTTTTGGAGGGTTCAGTGCATGTGTAGTTGGCCTGGTTTCCTTGGGCAGTTGGCCTGGTTGACATGGGCTTGTGCCCCATGTTGTGAGCAGGTAGTGAGCAAGAGGAAGCAGGTCGTGAACAAGAGAAAGAGGCTAGGATCCACCAAACCCTGACCCAAAGGTCTTCTGTGTTGCACGCCTCCCCATAATGCCACAGGCTGGGGATAAAACCTTTAATACACAGGCCTTTGGTGGACACTCTGGGTCCTTCAGACCTCAACGAGCTCTTAGTTTATACCAAGCTCTAGTTTGTAGCTTTTATTTATTTTATTTTATTTTTTTGTCTTTTTGAGACAGGGTCTCGCTATGCAGTTCAGGCCAGCCTTGAGCTGACTTTGTAACCCAGGCTGGTCTTGAGCTCACAACGATCCCCCTGCCTCAGCCTCCCGAGTTCTAGGATTACAGGCATGTGCCACCATGCCCGGCTCCCTCCCCCGACCCCTGGTACTGGGAATCGAACTCATGACCTTGCGCTTGCCAGGCAGGTGCTGTGCTGCTGAGCTAAATCCCCAGCCCCTCTAGTTTGTAGCTTTATGGTGAGCTCTGAAAGGTAAAGTTCTTTTTTTTCTTCAAAAACATAAAGATGACATTATATCTAAAAATTAAGGTTTTTTGAGACAGGGTCTTTACTACGTAGTTCAGGCAGGCCTTGAATTCACTATGTAGCCCAGACTGGCCTTGAATATGTGGCAATCTTCCTGCCTCAGCCTTGCCAGTGCTAGGATTATAGGCATGCACCACCATGCCAGGCCACATATAAAATTAATAATAATTTCTTATTAAATCTTAATTTAAGTATAAAATATCCTAATATCATAAGTTAGTATTTACATGTCTCTAAATGTCATCTTTTTTTTTTTTTTTTTTTTTTTTGGTCTTTTTTTTGAGACAGGGTCTTGCTCTGCAGTTCAGGCTGGCCTTGAACTCACTTTGTATCCTATGCTGGTCTCGAACTCACAACGATCTTCCTGCCTTAGCCACTGAAGTGCTGGGATTACAGGCATGTGCCACCATGCCTGGCTAATTGTCTTCTTTTTACAATCACCTGTTTGACTCAAGATTCAGTCAAAGGCTGTGCATTCCAGCTGGTTGAAAATATCTCTTAAACTTTTTTTCCTTTTTGGTACTGGGGCTGGAACCCCAGGCCTTGTGCATGCTAGGCAAGTGCTCTACACTGAACTACATCCAGGGTTATGTCTGTTTTAGTCTGTTAGTTTCCATTCTCTCTCTGTCTCTCTTTTCTGTCACAATTTGTTAAAAACCCTGGGTTGTTTGTCCAGGAGAGTCTGTCATTCTGCACAGTTTAGTTAAAGCAGAGAATCTTTTCTGTCTTCCCTGAGAGTTTGTCCCCTGAGCACCTGCTCTGACCCGGGGTCAGTGGCCTTCTCGGGCAGTCGTGCAGGCGTCTCCCTTTCACTAAGCAGGCAGCGCAGCACAGGGTGCTCCCGACACCTTCGGGCCCACCTGGGTTCTTCACGTCACAGGGCAGCTGCAGCTACAGTCCCGGAGGCACAGAGAGGACAGGCAGGCTTCTCAGACTCGTGAGGTGGCACGCACTGCTTGCTTGAGCATCAGCGTGGACACCTGGAACCAGGTCTGGGTGTTGCCAGTGTCCTGGGTGAGTGAAAACGAGAGCGGTTAGGGGAAGAGGCTCTTGGACCCATGTCCTGGGAGAGCCAGGCTGCTGAGTCTGGGAAAGCTGCAGGGCTGTGTCACCTCATGACCTGCTTTCTTGGTGTTTTTTCCTAGACGTGCCAGGTGTGCCAGATGCTGCTGCCCAACCAGTGCAGCTTCTGTGCACACCAGCGGATTCACGCGCACAAGTCCCCCTACTGCTGCCCGGAGTGTGGCGTCCTCTGTCGCTCTGCCTACTTCCAGACCCATGTCAAGGAGAACTGCCTGCACTATGCCCGCAAGGTGGGCTACAGGTGGGTGCTGCCTGGCTCCCTGTCCTGGTGTTGCCCGATGCCTGCTCCTTTCCCTAGCCTGGAACTTGAGACAGTCGTTTGGTCTTAGAGGTCTAGTGCTGCAAGAATGTTGGTTGCTGTGTAGACAGACATTATTATATTGTAGAGGATAGGCAGCAAGAGGGCAGAAAATGAGCAGTATAAAAAAAAGAAATACTAAAAAAAAAACTTTGAAGGTGGGCGTGGTGGTGCAACCTGTAATCCCAGCTACTCAGGGGGCTGAGGCAGGAGAATTTCAAGTTCAAGCCCAGGCTGGACACCCTGTCTCAAAAATTTTAAAAAGGGCTAAGAGTGTAGCTCAGTGGTAGAGTGCTCCTAGGTTTGATCCTCACTACCACATACACACACAAAAAAACATTGGAAGAGGAGGTTTTGGGGTGCTTATTAATTTGTCTTTTGTTTTGAGATGGAGACCTCACTGCGCTGCTCAGCCCGGCCTGGAATTCCTGGGCCCAAGTGAGCCTCCAGCCTCAGCCTTCCCAGGAGCTGGGACTACAAGTGTGTGCCAAGGGGCCCAGCTTTTCTTCTTCTTCTTTTTTTTTTTTGGTACCAGGAATTGAACTCAGGACTTTGCACTTGCCAGGCAGGTGCTGTGCTGCTGAGTTATCTCCCTGGCCCTCTACTTGGTTTAAAAAAGTATATAAATTTAATTTGCTCACAAAGTTACTGTGTTTGCCATACTAAATTTAAAGTACTGTTTTGATAATAAATTTACTAATTGCAATATTTTGAAATGTTCTAGTTTTCATTAACAAAAGTTATCCAGCCCTTTTGTAGGACTCAAGACTCCAGGGGCTCTCCTGTCTTCATCCTGTTAGTTTTTGTCAGGTTGTGGGAAACAATACCTGAGAATGGAACGAATGATCAGCCTTAGGGTGAAACCAAGAAAATGCATACTGAGTCTCCTCTGTGTCAAGGTTTTTTTTCACTATACTGGGATTGAACCCAGGGTTTTCATGGTAAGCTACATCCCCAGCACCTCCTGCTCTTTTTTTTTTTTTTTTTAAATTTTGAGACAGGATCTTGCTAAGCTACTGTCACCTAGGTTGAATTTGAACTTGGAATTCTCCTGCCTCGGCCTCCCACAAGGCTGGGGATTATAGGCATGTTTCACCACACTTTTTTTTTTGTTTGTTTGGTTTTGGTACTGGGGATCAAACTCAGGACCTTGCACTTGCCAGGCAGGCGCTTATGCCACTGAGCTGTATGCCCAGCTTTGTTTCTTTTTTATGCTTTTTAGTTTTTTGTTTTGTTTTTTATGCCACCATACTTGAGTCAAACATTTATAAGCAAGAAGTCATGTTCAGGAAAAAAATCAAATTGATAAAGCTTACTCTGAAAGTCATAGATCTGCAACTTTTACTTTGACCCAATCAGGTCTCCTAAAGGAGCTTTTACTTTATCACTTTGACTTTATTATTATTATTATTACTTATTTATTTATTTATTTATTTTATTTTTGAGATAGGGTCTCGCTATGCAGTCAGGGTGGCCTTGAGCTCACTGTAGTCCAGGCTGGTCTTAAACTCCTAACAGTCCTCCTGCCTCAACCTCCTGAGTGCTGGGATTACGCCACCATACCCAGCTTGATTTTTAAAAACTAATTTTGACTAAATTTAGTCACATTTTCTTCTCTTTGGAATTTCAAAAAATTTGACTTAGTTCATTTGTCATTTATGTGTGTATTTACTGTCTTTAGCACTTCTCAGAATATAAAGATGATTTTTTTTTTTATATAGTCACATAGTTCTCTAGTCACCACAAATAATTTTAGAGCATTTTCACCATCCAAAAAGAAACACCGTACCCACCAATCTCCTTATCCCTTCAACCCCGGGCAACCACTAATTTACTTTCTGTCTCATAGATTTACCTCTTCTGTACATTTTCATATAAATGCTGTCATATAATATGTGACCCTAGCATTGTATTTTTCAGATGCAGACGTGTTGTAACATCTGTCAGTCTTTTATTCCTTTTTATGGCTGAATGCTGTTCCATTGTATGGGTAGACCACGTGTACTGATTCACCAGTTAATAGTATTTGGACTAGTTCCACTCCTCCCTCTTATGAATAATGCTGTGAATGAACGTCCGTGCGTGAGTCATTGTGCGGACCTGTGTTTTTCTTTTGAGGATCTGTCCAGGAGTAGAACCCTTAGTTCAAATCATAACTTTTATGTTTAACTTGTTGAGAATCTGTCAGCCTGTTTTTCTCTGTGGTTGCTTTCCCACAAGCGCTGCGTGAAGGGTTCAAGCGCTGTACCCTGCCGTCATTTGCTCTTGTCCACCTTTTTGATTGTAACTGACCTGTGGGCATGAAGTGGTAGCTTACTTATTTGCATTTTTCCTGATGTTAATGGCATTGAGCATGAGTGTCTGTTCATGTGCTTATTGGCCATTTGTGTCTTTGAGAAATGTCTATTCAGATTTTTTGCCCATTTTACTTTATTTTATTTTTTGTCTTTTTGAGACAGGGTCACACTATGCCATTCACACTGGTCTTGAACTCACTTTGTAGTCTAGGCTGGTCTCGAACCCCCAACGATCCTCTTGCCTCAGCCTCCCCAGAGCTGGGATTACAGGCATGCACCACTATGCCTGGCTTTTTTGCCCAATTTAAAAATTGGGTTGTCATATTGTTATTGAGTTATAAGCATTCTGTGTATATTCTGGACATAAGTCCCTTGTTATATACATTTGTAAATACTCCTTCCCAGTTTTTGGCATTAATGTTGTTTAGTAAATTCTAAAAAGATAGATATGTTCCACTTTACTGAGTTCTACAACAGAGTTTTACAATATTATTTTGTTTTACATTATTTTTGCATTTTCTAAGAGATAGTGTAAAAGCCAGACATCATATACGTATATCATTGTGCAGTGGATATGTTTTACATTTATTTATTGATTGATTGATTGATTGATTGATTGTCTTTTTGAGACAGGGTCTAACTATGCAGTTCAGGCTGGCCTTGAGCTCACTTTGTAGCCCACGCTGGTCTCGAACTCACAACAATCCTCCTGCCTTTGCTCTTGAGTGCTGTGACATTATATATATTTTAGAATTTTATATGTTCTGTTCTTGTTGGTAATCTGGGAAGTAGCAGTGATGTCATAAGGAAAAAAAGTTTAGACTGGTTTTACCTTGTTTTCTTTTTTTTTTTTTTTTTTTTTTTTTTTTTTTGTTTTTCTCGGGTACCAGGAACCGAACTCACGACCTTGTGCTTGCCAGGCAGGCGCTTTTTGCCGCTGAGCTAAATCCCCAGCCCCCTTACCTTGTTTTCTTTTCTTTTTTTGAGACAGGGTCTCACTATGTAGTCCAAGCTGACCTTGAACCTATATAGCCCAGGCTGGCCTCAAACTAGTGCAGTCCTCCTGCCTCAGCCTTCTGAGTGCTGGGATTATAGGCTGCTGGGGTGACAGGTGTGCGCCACCATGCCCAGCATTGTCTTCTTTTTCCTTGTGCTTAGAGCCCTTGTTGACACTCTGTGCTCCTCGTGGGGAGTCAGGACGTGCAGGGTGCGGGGTGCTCTGAGGTGCCCCTGTCTTTTGGTCTGTTTTCTGGCCTCCATTTGTGAAAGATCTGTCTCCTTGTTTTTTATTATCTCTAATTTTGCTCTTTAAATTACTTATATTTTTTGGTCTCATATAAGAGAAACCATGGGATATTTAAGCTGTGTGTCTGATTTATTTCCTTTAACGCCATTGTCTCAGGGTGTATCCTTTTTCCTACAAGGACTTTTAATCATGGTATTTTCTTATTTGTGACCATTAGCAGATTTAAATGTCTTAGGCTGTGTTCTCTTTCCTGAAACTTTACATATTTTACAACATGCAATTATTCTACAATGGTTTAAAACTTTCTTTTAAGAAAAGCAGTCAGGGCCGGGGATATAGCTCAGCAGCGTAAGCGCCTGCCTGGCAAGCTTGAGATCATGAGTTCAATTCCCAGTACCAAAACAAAACAAGAAAAGCAGTGAAAGGTCATGTCACGAGTTTGGATTCTTCTTCAGTGTGTACACCCAGAGGGTCAGCGCTTCTGGAAGCATGTGTCCTTTTACCACTTGTGTTCCTACTGTGGATGCAGTTTCTTTTTTTTTTTCTTTCTTTCTTTTTTCTGTCTTTTTTGAGGCAGGGTCTTGCTATGCAGTTCAGGCTGGCCTTGAGCTCACGTTGTAATCCAGGCTGGTCTCAAATTAACTACGATCCTCCTGCCTCAGCCTCCTGAGTGCTGGGATTACAGGCAATTTCTCAAAGAACATTTACCACATCAAATGAGTTTGTAGTAGCATGTGAGAGGAGTATATTTATATTGTTTCTTCAGGAACTTAGTCAAATTGTCCAAATAAAGCTACATAAGAGAGAGAATCATTTTACATATATCAAGTGTACTGGGCCACTTTGGATGAATTTGGAAACGTGTGGATTTTTTCCTCCCTGTCTTAATTCGTAGCCGTGTTGGTGAACCTATGGCACGTGTGCTGCTGCTGCAGACCGTTTGTCACTGAGCGCTCTGAAAGGTTTGCTATCATGGCCTTCATCTAGCATGGAAGCACTTGTGTGTAGCAGTGCGTGTGTGTATGCTTTCTGAGTATTGAACCCAGCTCCTCAAGTTTCACTGTCTTGTTTTTTGTTTCATGGCAAAGAAAAGAAAATAAGTAGCTTATATAGAAATTTTGTAACTTAGAGCATGTACAGACAGTAATGAGTCCTCTGAAGAGTTCACTGCCGGCAGCGTTCTGGTTCTGTGCACTACCCCTCGTTGCTAATAGCCTGCAGAGGTGCTCCTGTTGTCCCATACCACTCAGCCCCCACTCGTGTAAGGAAGAAACAGGATTGGAAGATTCTGGGATGATTTACAGGGATTGTGAAATTCACTAATAAACTTATAATAAAGTTAATATTCAGGAATCAAAGACTTTTTACGTGAAATCTTGTCCTTTCTTTTTTTCTTTTTGAGACAGGGTCTCCTTGTGTAGTTCAGGCTGGCCTGAACTTACTGGATAGCCCAGGTTGGCCTGGAACTCACTCCTGCCTCAGCCTCCCAAGTACTGGGATGGCAGGTGTGCACCACCACACCTGGCTTGTCCTTTCTTTCAGTAGAGCAGCAGCCTCTCTTCTGATACCTACTGGACTGTTAAGGTCATAGGGGCAGGAAGCATTGGAACAAAAGGCACATAAAGAGCAGGGACAAGGAAGGTGTTTCCTCTGGGAGGGGGACCTGTGTGTGTTTGCCGCAGGGAGAAACACTTAACTCATGAGAAGCACCGGGAACCTTGAGGATGCCAGTGGCAGGGGCTGGCTCATCACACCGAGAGAACAAAGTTTGTAGAGATGCTTTGAGGTTGAAAAGAGTTTCATGTGACCTCAGTTTCAGAAAAGTGATTTAAGATAGTTCTTTATTCATATATTACAAAAATATGTATCTACCAAACAAAACTCAGAAGAAGATATGGATTGGTAGGGAGAAGAAATAAAAAGTTCAGCTGGGCATGGTGGCACATACCTGTCATCCTAGCTTCCTGGGAGGCTGAGGTAGGAGGATCGCAAGTTCAAGGCCAGGGGCAACATTAGTGGGACCATGTCTCAAAACAAAGCAAGTACAGGGCCGAGTATGGTGGCGCACACCTATAATCCCAGCACTCGGGAGGCTGAGGCAAGAGGATCCCTGTGAGTTCAAGACGAGCCTGGGCTACAAAGTAAGCTCAAGGCCAGCCTGAACTGCATAGCAAGACCCTGTCTAAAAAGACAAAACAAAAACGAAAACATGCTGAAGAGGTGTCACAACAGTTTAGAGCCACACCTTCCGGAACAGCACCAGCCATGTGTGGCTTTTAAGTGCTTGAAGTGTGGCCAGTGTCCATCTTCACAGCGGGTGCCCTGGATGGTGCTGCTGTCTAGTGCTTCTTCCTGGGCTCTGAGTTTTGTGGCTCCATCTGATTATGCTGGAAGTGCTTCATTCCCTGGCTCCCGGTGTCTGGCTGCTTGCTTGGCGCCAGCCTGGGGAAGGTAGAGGCCTTTGTAGTTCTCTGCATTTCTGCAGTGGGGCATGACGTTAAGCTGTGACTGTGGTCAGTGAGCAGCCTCCTCCTTTCCAGGATTCTGGTGTACAGAAGGCTATCCCCTGGACAGTGGGAGGAGGGTTCTTTGCTGGCGTGGCACTGGACTGCAGGCACCTTGGGTGTCCACCCTGTGCCAAGCTGCACAGGCATGCTCAGGATGTGGTGTGGAGGAGGGAAGCCTCCACATGTGACCAGGGACAAGCCTCAAGGTGGCTCTGCCCCGCCTCTGTCCCGCTTCTCCAGCAACAGCACCTCTGGGTCTGACACCTCACCTCTCTCATCCAGGTGCATCCACTGTGGTGTTGTCCATCTGACCTTGGCCTTGCTGAAGAGCCACATCCAGGAGCGACACTGCCAGGTTTTCCACAAATGTGCATTCTGCCCTATGGCCTTCAAGACTGCCAGCAGCACAGCAGACCACAGTGCCACCCAGCACCCGACCCAGCCCCACAGACCCTCCCAGTGAGTGCAGCGAGGAGCGGCCCCGGGGGCTGTCGGGATGGACCGGGATGCCGAGGCTGGTGGCCAGGCCTTGGAGTCTGCTGACGACGCCCCGAGGCAGGCCCTCAGCGGGCTTTCTAGGCCCTGCTCTGGCATGGAGAAAGCAGAAAAGGGGTGGCGGGTCTGTGATTCTTCCAGCAGTCGTGGTCACCTCATGCCCTGGGACTTGTCTCATTAGGCTCATTTATAAGTGCTCCTGTGAGATGGTCTTCAACAAGAAGAGGCACATTCAGCAGCATTTTTACCAGAATGTCAGCAAGACACAGGCGGGCGTCTTCAAGTGCCCCGAGTGCCCGCTCCTGTTCCTGCAGAAGCCGGAGCTGATGCAGCACGTCAAGGTGGGGCGCTCAGGGCAGGAGTCCGGGGGTCTGGACTGACGCTGGACCTCTTGCCCCTCACCCAGTCAGTAACTGCTCTCCCCATCCCCAGAGCACCCACGGTGTTCCCCGGAACGTGGACGAGCTCTCCAGCCTGCAGGCTGCAGCAGACCCGTCCTCTAGCCGTCCTGGCTCTCGAGTGCCCATGGAGTCCCCTGCTGCTAGTGTGGCTGCCCGAGGCAGCTCCCTGTCCTCAGGCCGCTGGGGCAGGCCGGAAGCCCATCGTAGAGCTGAAGCCAGGCCCCGGCTGAGGAGTACAGGCTGGACCTGCCAGGAGTGCCAGGAGTGGGTTCCCGACCGAGAGAGCTACGTGTCCCACATGAAAAAGAGCCATGGGAGGGTAAGTGTGGCTGCATAAGCTGGGCTTCCGTCCAGTGAGTGTAGAACTGCTGATATGGCTGCTCCTAGGGCTCTGGTGTCTTGGGCAGGGTGGGTGTCCCGGCGCTTGAGGGCATCATCTGAGAAGATTCCTTCCAGAATGGCCTGGTTCTGACCTTGTGACACGTCACCTCCCCTAGACGCTGAAGCGATACCCATGTCGGCAGTGCGAGCAGTCCTTCCACACCCCCAACAGCCTGCGCAAACACATCCGCAACAACCATGACACCGTGAAGAAGGTCTACACGTGTGGGTGCGTATGCTGGGGGTAGCTGAGGGCCTGGTGGCGCTGGTGTGCTCCCCGCCTCACTCCAGCCTCAGCCAGTCCCAGCGAAGGGCCCTGCAGTGTAAGAGGGCCACGGGAGTGTGACTGTGTTCCTCCCGGTGACTGTGCCGGTGCCGTGGGATGTACTTGGCTCTTTTAAACTGGGGCCTCTGGGCAGGGAGAGCAGGGAACGAGGCCACGGCAAGGACCAGAGGTCAAGTGGGCGGGGTCCTGACCTGCGCTGGCAGGCACGTGGGGAGCCTGCAGCCGGGTCTGACCTGCGGCCTTGGCTGTGTCCTGCAGGTATTGCACCGAGGACCCTCCCAGCTTCTCTCGGCCCTCCCTCCTGGAGAGCCACATCAGCCTTATGCACGGGATCAGGAACCCTGATCTGAGCCAGACGTCCAAAGTCAGACCACCGGGCGGACATTCTCCTCAGGTGAGCTGCCTGCTGGGCTGCAGCTGGAGAGGCGTGAGAGGGCAGGGCCGTGGAGCGCCAGCGTGGCCACTTCTCCCAGCACGGTCATTCTACTCTTCTGTGAGACCCAAGAGCCAGCACCCTTGCCACTGTGACTCCCTGCTTAGACACGGGCCATTCTCTGTGGACCCTGCAGTGCTTTTATGTACATTGTCCTGCCTCAGCCTCATAGCAGGGCAGCTTAGCTTGTCAGGTGGTGCTGGACTGAGTTCCCTCCCTGCCCCACACGACATGGGAAGAGCTAGTTGTGGAACCTGCTGTCCAGGCCCCTGGCCTGTGACCACATCACCGCCACATGTGCTGTCTCTTTCCCGGGAACGCTGGGAGCAGCCTGCTCTCCCTGTCCCAGCAGGCTCATGCCAGCCAGTAGAGGGCTGCCTGTGGGCCGGGAGTCCCTGAGACTCAGCTCCTCAGAGCTGCTGGCTGCCCTCACGCACAATAGCCAGGTATCAGTTGATTTTTTGGCATCAGTCCCTGAGAAGAATGCAGCTCCACCCCATCCTCCAGTGAACACACCCTGCCCAGCACCCTGCTTCCAGGGCCCGTTCCTTGCAGAGCTCTGGCCTTGGGCATAAAGAAGTGTGTTCAAAGGGTTCGCTGCAGTGCCATGGTGGTAACATCTGGATGAAGCCTAACGCTGGCAGTGGGGACCTCACCTCCATAGTGGGCTGGTGCTGCTGTCAGGAGAGCCCACCCTGGGGGCCTGCACTGTCAACTAAGACTGCAGGTGACTAGAAGTGTGTGTGGCATGTGGCCACTCAGTAGAGGACAGTAGTTTTGTGTACACACACATATGCTTTCTTAGACAGTGAGACCCTGACAATGGAGTGCTCTTTGGAGAGAAGCTAGGGAACAATAAGAGGGCCTTAGTGTGCTGTGTGCCCCGTGCCCCATATATTTGGAATTCATGCCACAAGTATCTGTGACATTAAAAAACAACGAGCTGGAGGCCAGGCAGGTCAGCTCACACCTGTCATCTGGTGGAGGATGGCAAGTTCCAGGCCAGTGTGGCCTACAGAATGAGGCCCTGTCTCCAAACAAAAACCAAACCAAACCAAACCAAAACCACAGAACTGGAACCGACCGAACCAAAGCCGTGTTTAGAGCTAGGTGAGCCAGTCTGAGTGGTGCCATTGGGCTTTTGGTGGTGGTGACCGTGTCTGGGGGCTGTGCTCACACCCTCTCTCCTTCCAGGTAAACCATCTGAAAAGACCCCTCAGAGCATCAGGGGATTCTCCGGGCACCAGCAGTGGCACGGCTGTCCCTCCCCCGAAAAGGCACAAATCCCTCTTTCAGTGTGCAAAATGTACCTTTGCCACCGACTCGGGACTGGAGTTCCAGAGCCACATACCTCAGCACCAGGCAGACAGCTCCACGGCCCAGTGTCTCCTCTGTGGCTTGTGCTACACCTCTGCCAGCTCCCTCAGCCGCCACCTCTTCATCGTGCACAAAGTGCGAGAGCAAGAGGAGGAGGAGGAGATGGAGATAGTGAAGGTGAAGGTGGAGGCATCCGAGCCAGAGGAGGGCTCTGGGGAGGAGTTGACCATGGAAGCGAGAGAGAATGGACTGGAAGAATGTGCCGGTGGGCCTTTGTCAGCTGACTCGGAGGCCAGGGGACCACTGGGCCTCGGCCTGGCAGAGGACCGGGCCCAGGATGCGCAGAGCCAGCTGCAGGCCTCTCAGGATCAGGACAGCCTTGCACTGTCCCCTCAGGTGTGACCTGAGGCTTGGCAGTGTATGTGGCCGGAGTGCGGCCCCGATGTCCCCCACTGCCTCACAGACTGAGGGAAGGCAAAGTCTGTGCCCTTGGGAAAGTGGCCACTCTGCTCTGAGCTGCGATGTGCTGAGGGTCCCCAGCCACAGGAAGGGTGGGGTTGCCCAGGACCCTCCTGGCTTTGAAATCGCCTGTGTTATTTATGGCTTTGTGCTGCTTTTTGGTACCCACCTCTCGGTCTATGTCCTTCCAACCCCAGGCTGCTTATGTGGCCCCACCCCAGTGCTGTCAGCTCAGCTGCACCCCAAACCCTGGGCCTGTGCTCGTCTGGGAGGTCCCCACTGCTACCTTCAGCCGGAGGGCCTCTCAGAACCTGAGAAGGAGGGGATGGGGCTTAGTGCAACACAGTCCCTCGGGGAGAAAGCTCCACCAGGTCAGGCTTGGCAAGAGCCCTGGGTCACCTTGCCCTTCCTTCCTGTCTTTTCTGGTTCTTTCCCTCAAAAACAGTCCTGTGAACTGTCACACTGGCTTCTCGTGTCTCTGTGGGTGGGAAACGAGCATACCTTTGCTTGGAACTGGGGACAGCAGGAGGTGTGGTGGAGGCAGGCAGGTTTGGAGAGCCAGGCCCCTTGAGAAGGCACTGCAGGTCTGGGTCTTTGCTCCGTAGCTGTCCTGCCGTCGCTGACAGCAGGGTTGGGCACACAGACGGGGAATGTGTGTGTTCTTGCTCCTGTGCCATTAGAGAGGCTGCTGTCCTGGCCGGCCAGCCTCTCCTCCTCTTGGCTGCACTCATGTTGCTCAGACTATATTTCAATAAAAACTCTTCTTACCATGCAGGCAGGCTCTTGTATTCCTCTCCAGGTCAGCCGCCCTTCCTTGTTCTGCCGAGGCCCTTCCCGCTTCTTGGCTCTCTGGAGGCTTCAGGAGCAGGGTCCGACGACCAGTGCAGAGTCGCCTCACAGGCCTGCCCCGGGTGGGTGACGAGTCTTCTTGGGTGTCTCCCTCTTGCCCGCAGAGGAGTTTGATGCTTGTGCAAGCCCTTTATGGGTGATGGGGTGGAGAGGAGGAGCTCTGTCCTTTTCTTGCAGCATTAGAGACCTCACTGTTGCCTCTGCCTCAGGGAACTCAGTGTGACAAAGCCAGGAGCAGACTTGGGGACAGAGATGGGGCTGCCCTGGCCCTGGGGTTGGCCCTGGGGTTGGCCCTGCAGGTCCAGTGCAGCCCTGGGAGCGGTGCTCACTGTGTTCTTAGAGGTGATCTTTCATGGGAGGCATGAGTAGCAGTTATAAATTAAGTCAGATAAATATGTTTGACCTTTTCACAACTGAAAAAAAGGTACCAGTTTTTTCTCCCTGTATCAAATGCCAGATTGTTAGTGAAATGTTAATGGCAGCGGGAAAGGTTGGTGCCGCCTCAGTTCCTGAGACTCTGGCATCTGTAGCATTTTTGATTGCTCTTCCTGGCAAGGCTGCCACTCCTTACCCACCCACCTGCCCCCAGCTGCCAGTGGAGCTGGAGCCAGAGCTGGAGCCAGAGCCAGAGCCAGAGCCAGAGCCAGCCTCAGACGCCAGAGCCAGCCTCAGATGCCAGGTCCAGTCACAAGAGCAGGCCCGGTGGAGGTGCAGAGGGGGGCGTGCAGTGGGTGGCTAAAGCCCTTCCTGCCCAGAAACTGGTGGCCAGGGATAGGCAGAGGAGGCAGGGAAGTCACAGGCTCAGCCACCTTTCCTGAGCCCACACCTGTCCCGTTTCTGGGGTGGAGGACAGCCAAGCTGCTCACCAGGACCCGGGCTCATGGCCTGGGTAGCCAGCTCTTAGCAAGCCCCAGCCACACAGGTCCCTCCCTCCTGTGCAGTCCCTCCTGGGCTCTTATGAGATCACTCATGTGCCACCTCTTTCCGATTCATAAAGCATGTGAAGGCGGAGAGGCTGTGCTCGACCTTCACGGTTGGAGGTGGTGCCCACCCGCTGCTGCTCACCCAGGGATGCTTATCAGCTAAGCACTGGCGGAGAGCATCACCTCTGTGATTTAACAATTGTAATGTTGTAGTTTAAGCCCTGCTCACACGCCCAGCATTTTGCTAAAACTTTCTGGTGACACTGATCCTTACGAAGATCTCAGTTATCCTCCGTTTTACAGAGAAGATGGTGGAAGCTGGGATGGTAAAGGACAGACGTATCGGGTGCCGCCTTGAGCCCGCCGAGCCCTCAGCTATCTTAGTGGCTGCAGTTGCTTTGGCTGCCAGCCAGCCCACCCATTGCCCAGAAGCCCACTCTTCTACTTCCCAAACATTTGCGGTATCCCGCAAGTGCCCAGTTCTCTTTGGAGACCTTTTGTGCCCCTTTACTCCTGGAGGGGCCTGTGCGTCATCCCTGCTGGAGCAGCACCATCCCAGGACTAGTCACTTTCATTGGGGTTTCCTTTGCCATTTGAAGACCATTGTTTTTGAGGACTGTCCAGAAAAGTGTTCCCAGTCTAGCATCTTCTGACCTCGTCTGCTTCACGGTGTTCCGAATGGGTGTGCTGTTGTGTGTCAGCAGCAGAGGCCTTAACTGCCAGCGAGAGCTCTCCTGATCTAGTTAAACAGATGAGACCCTCACTACCATTTAATATGCTCTGAGGCTTGACAAATGCCTGGTATTTGTTCTCCAACTGCTTTGTCTCTGTAAAATGATATGCTGATTACTATGAGCTAACTGTTGTAGAAAGAATTTTGCCCTTATGTAAACTGTTTGGTTTAAACAAAAAACAAAAAAATCTTAACAGTTGTGGCCCTGTGAGTCCCACACTTTGCCTTCCCCAAGACTAAGGAACCTCCGTCCTGTTCACCACTGTCTGTTCAGCATCCAGCAGTTCCCTTTATTTTTTGTTTTGAAAAATTAATACATATACATGGTAAAACATCCAACATACGAAAAAGCATACAATAAAAAGTAACCTTCCAATGGGAGTCAAGCTCCAAAGCCCTTGTCTAGTTAATCGCTGCTATCTGTATCCTGTGTATTCTTCAGAGCAATTCTATGCATTTACAAATTTTTAAATATGTATATTTATATATCTATTTTTAATACAAACAGTAGCATTCTATACACAGTGTTCTGAGGCTTGCTTTCTTTCCACTTTTATAGTACTTGGGCAGTTGTTCCAACCACATGTACTGGCTCTGTGTGCCGGCTGAGGAGCTGGCGGCACAGGTCTTTGTGTGCAGCAGTAACTCACAGCAGTGTGTGGACGAGCGAGTGAGCGTGCGTGGATGCATCAGCCTGACTCGGAGGCAGCCACCAGTGCTGCTGCGGCTCACCTGATGGAGATGGGGCCTTTGCGGGGCTCACTTGCATGGGCCTGGGCTGCTCTCCCCCTTCTTGCCCCACAGGTGCCCTGGCAGCCACTGGAGGTGGGCGGCTGGAGGAGAGAGGGGGCCTAGGATCCAGCTCCCACAGATATGGTTTTCAGGTCCCCACTTCCAAGGCCTTTCTTAAAAGTGGGAAATAACATACCACTATTTATTGATTGAGTGATTGATTGTCTTTTTGAGACAGGGTCTCACTATGCAGTTCAGTTTTGTGGCCCAGGCTAGTCTCAAACTCATAACGATTCTCCTGCCTCAGCCTCCCGAGTGCTGGGATTACAGGAGTGCGCCACCACGCCTGGCCTACGTACCACTATTGGAGAAGAAGAAGGACACGTACTTAGGATCTTGTCCTTGTCCTACTGCAGTTTTCAGTTTTGTCTCCCACTTCCCAGTTTTCGTTCAGCACGTGCGGAGTGGAATTTGTGGTATAATTGTAGTAAGAGTTGTTGCCAGTGAACATTTCTGTGTCTTTATATGTCTGTTTTCAATACAAACAGCAGCAGACATAATCTCTTAGCCTCAGAACAATCCTACGACATACATACTGTTGTTATTCTTTATCAGACAATAAAATTGAGATTCAGAGTGGTCAAGCGGGTTCCTGCAGGCCACACCGCTAGCAAGGGTGGAGCTGGCTTCACAGTGGGCTGTGTGACTAACATTACACTGTCTCTGATTTCACACTCTAATGATTTCACTTACCGTCACCTCCTGAATAGTTTCTGTTTCTACCTAGCCTTCAAAATCATTTTCAAGTGTTGCACTCACTTCCATCATGGCAAGGTAACATAATTTACTTAAACCATTTCCTGTTCAAACTTCCTGCTTTACCAGTGAAGTGAAGTGTGATGGGCGTATAGCCTTTTACTTTTGTAGAATTATTTCCTCAGATGTGCTACATTCCTATTTTGTCCTGAGTAGTCTCAGTGGAGAAAGCTAACTGGGAGTCAGAGCCCCAGGTCCACATGCCGTGTGACAGTCACCTGGCCTCAGTTTTCCATCAAATGAGGAGGTTGGTTTATGTCTTCGCATATCTTTGCATTTTGTTTTGTGAGACAGTCTCACTTTGTAGTTTCGGTTCACCTCGAACTCACAGTGATCCTTCTGCCTCAGCCTCCCGAGTGCTGCGATTACAATATGTGCCACCACACCCAGCACTGTTTCTGTGTATCTTGAGCTTGGCCAGATGCTATTTTCTCATTCCTGTATGTGTTTAAAGTAGAGAAGACTTTCCCAAAGGCAAGAGTTGTACCACATTTTATCTTTTACCTACTTACTTTTGCCCTGGTTATATACAAAAACAGAGAAGATTCTCCTCTCTTGAGCAGTGTTACTTTTATTTGCATTTATTCTTATTTCAATTTGTATCAGATTTATGTTTTTTCAGCTCTTTTATGACCATTTGTTCTGGTTCTTGTCACGCCTTTCCAAATCTGAACTTTTTTTTTGTTTTTGAGACAGAGTCTCCCTCTGCAGTTCAGGCTGGCCTTGAACTCACTTTGTAGCCCAGGCTGGCCTCAAACTTGCAACGATCCTCCTGCCTCAGCCTCCCAAGTCTGGCAAGTCTGAACTATTGACAATTAATTCCTAACCATCTTCCAATCCTCCTGTCAACCAGGCATGTTATAGGACTACCTACGGCGGATGTGTTCTTGAGCTAGTGCATTGTGTCATGCACTGGCCTTTAAAAAAAATTTTTTTTAAAAAACCACTTGCAAATATTTGAGTACTTTTTAGTGCATGAATGCTAAAAATCAAACATTTCACTGATCATATGGAAAGTGGAGCTCAGAGTGGACGGTGAGGGCAGAGCCCCTCAGTGACAGTGGGCCTGTGGCACCAGCTTACTTCAGGCAGAAACCGGCCCTCTCCTCTCATCTGTCTGTGGCCACTGGGCAGGAACAGCCGTGCCCCTGCAGGCACTTTTCAGGACAAAGGGAAGCACAGCCCCGGTCACCTTCACGCTGGCCGGCTGACTCTCCAGGTCTTGTGCTTTTGGGCATTCAAGCTGACTGGAGCATCAGAGCTGGGGACTGGGGAGGATACCTGGGCAGCTCTATCCCTGAGTCCCTAATTCCCCTTCCAATCCAACCAGAGTCAGGAGTGGCTTCTTGTTGCCAGTAATCCTTTAATTGGTGTCCACTTACCCGAGCACAGCTGCGGCCGCATCTCCAGTCCCTGGACAGGAGCCTGCCAGGGTGGCTCGCCACCCTGGGGCTGAGGCTGTGCCTGCTTGGGAAGAGGCTCAGCCGTGTGAGCCAGAGCTGGGCAGTTCTTGGAGGAAGGTCAGACGGGCGTCAAGAGTGCTGCAGGTTGGTGGCACAAGGCAATAGCTTCCCATGTGTGGGCAGCACCGGCCGAGACTAGGGCTTTGTCTAGCTCAAAGCTAAAACTTTACTTTGGAAGAGTGGAAGCCGGGCGCGGTGGTGCACCCTCGTAATCCCAGCACTCAGGAGGCTGAGGCCGGTGATAGCCTTGAGTTCAAGGCCGGCCTGGGCTACATAGTGAATTCAAGGCCAGGCTGCACAACATAGTGAGAATCTCTATCAGAAAAACAACACCCCCCACAGACACGTGCACTCATGCGCACTCCTGCAGGAAGGAGTGGAATCAAGAGAAAGAAAATCAACTGGGTACCGTGGCACACGCTTGTAACCTCAGTACTCGGAGTGAGGCAGGAAAATCACAAGTTCAAGGCCAGCCTGAGCAACCTAGAGACTCATTGCATCTCTACCTCAAAAAGGGCTGGGGACGTAGCTCAGTGTGAAGGCCCTGGGCCAGGGGGGCAGCTGGAGGGGTACCTGGCACTTGGCGGTGTTGGTGACTGTCACTGAGCTGTCACAGGTCTGCAGAGGGAGTGATGCTACTATGTAAGGACATCCTCAATGACCTTTGACCCCAGGCCTGGGTCCCAGCTTGTAGAAAATCACCTCAGCACGAGTCGGCTTGAATGCCAAAAAACACAAGACCTGGAGAGTCAGCTGGCCAGAGTGAAGGTGACCGGGGCTGTGCTTCCCTTTGTCCTGAAAAGTGCCTGCAGGGGTACGGCTGTTCCTGCCCAGCTCCTGCTTGGAGGGGCTCCCGGTGTCTTGCTCCCACACCGTATTTTGTCATCACACCGCGTACAGTTGAAGTGACTATCTGCTCCCCACTGTGACCCTGGTCTATAGGGAGGGTGGGGTGAGCCAGAGAGGCCAAGGAGGAATGAGGGTAGGGACACAGAGGGCGGGGGATAGGTGTGGAGCTGCCTGGCGTGGGGCGGTAAGGGCGGCAGTGTAGAGGTGAGGCCTTGGTGGCACTTGGTGGGCTGCTGGAGATGAGGAGGATGGTCTTTGTGAGGACAAGGCAGATGGACCTGCTGCCAGCTGTCGGCTGTGTCATCGAGTGGCTGGGGTGGCACTCAGGGTGAGATGCTGTTGTTTTCATAAGTTCACCGGGGGACGGCCAGGGTGTGGTGGCTCCTGAGATCTGATAAATACTGGGGGACAGCAGGTAATGCAGGCCGTGCTCAACACTCCACAGGAGGCCCCTGCGACTTTCACTAGTGTGTGAGCCAGCTGGGCCGGAAGGGGAAGAAATGGAGCCTGTCACACACAAGGCGTGGTCACAGTCACCAGACATTGGGGTGGGGGCTGAGGTGACAGTGTCCTAGGGCCTCCATTGTGCTTGGACTGGTCACAGCACCCCCTGTTCTGCGAAGTACACCAAAGGTAGCCTGTGATTTTTCTATTACAAGTATCCAGTTTCCTTTGGGCCCCAGGAAGTGTGAAAACACTGAGGCTGAGGCAGGAGGATCCTGGGACAATGACATTCCCCTGGGGTTCATCTGCCCTTGTATTGAATAGCAATTGGTAGACTCTTAACTTAGTCCTCCTCAGAGGAGGAGGACCACTTTATATATCCTGACTTTCCTTGCTAGACTGTGAGCTCGGAGAGGAAAAATGTTATCCACCTTGCTGTCCCTGACTGCCTTGCCCCCTCATCAGGAACTTGGTTGAAGGCAGAGAAAGTTGGTTTGAAGAGCTGGGCATGGTGTGAACACCTATAATCCCAGCACTCTGGGAGGCTGAGGCAGGAGGATCACAAATTTGAACTCAATCTAGGCAATTAGTGAGATCCTGTCTCAAAATTTTTGAGAGTAGGAGAAGGAGGATATGTAGCTCAGGATGAAGGTCTAGGGTTTAGTCCCTAGTAACTGAAAAAGCAAAACAAAACAACAAAAACAGCAAGAAGCTAGGAATGATGGCTTAGGGTTAGCACTGGATGATAGGGGCAGAATTCAAAAAGACCTAGATGAGGAAAGGGGATGTGAGAGAAAGATGAGATTAAACGGAAAACCCAAGTAAATTCTTTTTGTTTTGTTGTCTTGTTTTTGAGACAGGGTTACCATATGTAGTTCAGGTTGGTGTCAGACTCACTTTGTAGCCTGAACTGGCCTCCAATTCTTGGTGATCCTCCTGCCTCAGCCTCCCTCCCCCTGAGTGCTGGGATCCCAGGTGTGCAGGAGGACTTCCTGGCACACAGATTCTGAGGAAAGTTGGAACTGCCACGTGCAAGGAGGCTGGGGACGAGGGGACACTGGCAGTGAGGTCACATTGCATTGGGGCCCTGTACTCCCTCCTCAGGGCAGGAAACTCCCACAGGAGGGGCTGTGTCTCTTCCCTGCTCCACTCCTGAATGTTCTGGTGAGAACTTCCCGTGGTGCCACTTGGGCCTGTGGGGGCCCATACGCCGGCTGGCCGCCGCCGCGGGGGGATGGAGTAGGAACAAGGCAGGCACTGTTAGGACGCGTGGAGGGCGGACATTGCCCGAAGGAGGGGCTGTGGTCCCCTTGGAGGACAGCAGCATTTGTACCCTCCTTGCTTTCCTCCCTGCCCCCCCCCCAGCCCCCAAATCCTGCCCCTCACATGTGGCGCACCTATCCCATCGTGCTTGGCCACGCGTCTCTTACTGAAATAAGGTGTTGCTTTGTTTTTTAATAAACATGCACTGTCTTTCTTGATCACCCCTTGTACGTTCCTGGGCTGTTCCCAATGCCAGCATGGCTTGGCCACAGTTGTAGTCTTGGTGGTGGCCGAGGGGTGGCAGGGAGGGGGGGAGGGAGGGACAGCAGCAGGTGACGCTGGGCTATAAATAGGGGCGGCCAGCCAGGCTGGGGAGGCAGCCGGGCGAGGCAGGCAGGCAGCGCCATGGGGTCGCGCAGGGTCCTTGGGTGGGGCGTAGGGGGTCGGGCAGGGGGCGACAGTGAGGACGACGGGCCTGTGTGGACCCCCAGCCCGGCCAGCCGCAGCTACCTGCTCAGTGTGCGGCCCGAGACCAGGTGAGTGGCGCTGCCCAGGGTCTGGGGGGCAACAGACGGTCGGGACGCGTCCCCTTCCTGCTCCCGGCCCACAGGCCAGAGGCCTGGCGCTCGGACTGGGCCCCAGCAGTCCCTGTGGGGGCCCCCCTGCCCCTTAAGGCCTGAGGGCCTCAGGGCTGAGGCCCCACAACACCCCAGAGAGGAGCTGGGCCCTATTTGGGGCGATGTCACAGGGGCCCCGGGCCTTCCTTATCTCCCACCCTGTGCGGGCCCTGGCTGTGGATTCCACAGGGAGCGATAAGAGGCCAGGGCGGCTGGAATTCCTGGGGCTGGAGGGAGGGCACAGGAAGGGGCTGGGGACTGACTGCCGAGTGGGGCCACCTCGCTCAGGGTGGGGCCGTCAACAGCAAGGAGTCAGCCTGCACCTTAAACAAGGTCCTCCTGGCCCAGGACTGGGTCTGGTGAGGGGAATGGGGTGAGGGTGGCGAGGGGCGGAGGGCTTGAAGCTCAGCGAGCCACGGCCGCTGGTATAGGGCCGGGCTGCGGTGTGGAGGGAGGGGAGAGCTGGGGGGCCCTTAGCTGCTCTTCTGAGTGGCAGACAGGGGAGGCGGCCCACGGGCCAAAGGCCGCACAGACGATAGGCGGCCACAGGCGTTCGCAGGCGCCAGGACACGAGCCACGCACCTTGCCACCAGACATAGGCTCCTGCCTGCTCCGCGCAGCTCAGTCCCCTCCCTTCCCGCAGTCCGTTTTCCCAGGGGAAATGTGACATTTGTCCTTCGGGACTGGCAGTATGTGTCCGGCCCAGCCTCTGGCTTGCTGGGTGTTATGGAAAAACCAACACTCCCGCCAGCCTGTTGAAAGCCCCCTCGCTCTCCACTCTCTGTTCATAAAAGAGCACAAAAACAGGCAGCAGGGACGCTCAGGAAAAGTCCCGGGCACTTCCTCATGGATTGGCTGAGTCCTGTTGACCTTGGAGTTGGAAAGGTTCAAATGTAACCGGAACCTGTTTCTGCATAAAACTCGTCAAATGATGTCACATGTCTGGGGCAGGGCTGAGGGCTGGTGTTAGTGACCGAGTCGGACTGCACCAGGCCCCCGGTGCCAGGAAAGAATGCCCCTTCACCAAGTGCGGGCTCTGCAGAGGCGCCGGCCTCACATGAGGACGTTGTTCCCGTCCCCTGGGAAGCTCGCCCCCCGTGGGCGCCTCCCGCTTGTCACAGTGCTTATCTGGACTTGGCCACCTGTGCCTGGCCTTTGTCAGTACGGGGGGGCCGGGAGAGGGAAGGAAGCAGGGTCCTCGCCCGCCAACAGCGGCGATGGAGGGGAGGGAAGAGGGGGCTGGGACTGGGCAGAACTCGGGCAGAACAGGGTGGGGCGTGGGCTGTGAGGAGTGAGCTGGGAGGGGACCCCAGCTGGCTGGGTGGCTGAGGGGCGTTTTCATGGCACCCTGGGTGAGCTCAAAGCAGTGTGCCCACCACAGGGCTGGAGGTGGGAGACGCAGCTGGCTTGAGTCCCCTTGGGGCGGCCTGGAGTGCCCTGAAAAGCTGTCTCTTTCCTCCTGGTATCTGGGGGGCAGCACACAGGAGTGTGCTTTGGCCTTGCAGTATTTCACTTCCAGTCAGCTGGCCAACACCGCCCCCCCGCCCCACGCACACCTTCTGAGGGACAAAGAGCCAGACTTGTTTGGTTCCTGGAGGAGCCTTTGGCCACAGAGGGAGACTGTGAAGGGGCTGCTTCGGGGAGCAGGCGAGGGTCGGTCCCCAGGGCTCTGCAGGTCCCACTTGTGCTGGAGGAGGCCGCGGAACAGTCTGAGCTCCCCCTGGAGATGGAGAGGAGGCCGAGACGGAGGAAGGGCTGAGCCCTCGCTATCCCAGGGTCCTCTCTAGGAGGCAAGTTCTGTCCCCACTCACTTTTGGCTCCAGTGTTTTCTGGCCCTATCTTTTTTCTGTTCATTTGTACTGGGGATTGAACCCAGGGCCTTCATATGGAGCTACATCCCTAGCTTCTTTTTATTTTCTAGTTTAAGACAGGTCTCACTAAATCATTAAATTGCCCAAGCTGGGTTTGAAGTTGAAATCCTCCTGCCCCAGCCTACCAGAGTGCTGGAATCACAGGCATGTTCCACCATGCCCTGTCTATCATGGAGTTCTTTCTTTTTTTTGTCTTTTTGAGACAGCGTCTCCCTATGCAATTCAGGCTGGCCTTGAGCTCACTTTGTAGCCCAGGCTGGTCTCAAACTCCCAGTGATCCTCCTGCCTCAGCCTCCTGATGGATGTCTGTGCAGGTGGCTGGGGTTCTAGAAGCCTTGGTTCTGGATCCAGACTCTACTTCCCCATATGCACCTTATCCCTCTGCCCATGACATCCGTTGGAGGGGTTTGCATTCCTGTGTCAGGGCAAGGGTATCTCAGTGCTCACCGAGGTCTGAGGCGTGCCTCAGCCCTATAGGAATTGGGGTTCAGGGAGGCTGGAGGAAGGTAAGGAACTGCAGCTGATGGGAAGCCCTTATGATGACCTGGCTTCTGCGGAACACCCTCATTTCATGATGGCCCTAGTCCACCAGGTGTGGGGGCCAGCGGGACTGTGATGTTGCTATAGACTGCTTTGAAACAACCTCTGCTCTTCTGCTTGGGTCAGGCAAGTTGCCTGGGGCTTTTAGGGAAACTGAGGCACCAGACCAGAGTTTTTTTTTTTTCTTTTCTTCTTATAATAAACAGGAAAAAGTTTTAGTTGGGCAGTACAGAAAGTAGCTTGAGGAGATGACAGAGATTAGGCTGGCCTTTAACAAAAAAGAGTAAGAAAACCAGGCGAGGGTGCGTCTTGAGGAGCCGAGGGTGCACTCTGCGGAGGGGGTCAGCCTGGCCCATGAACGAGGAGGGAGGATCATTTTATGGGTGGCTGCTGGGCCGGGGCCTGGGTGGCCATCATCTCAGTCCTAGGCCAGGACTTCCTCAGGGTTTTTGATGACCTGGATGTTTGCTCCTTATGAGGAGACCTTTTGTTCCTTCTGTGGAATGAAGGTGATGTGGAAAATTCTTTTTTTTCCGGCCTGTGCTAGTTGGACCTCACTAGCCACATTGAAATCATATGCGGCTTTATTTTATTTTATTTTTTGCAGTGCTGGGGGGTGGAACCCAGGGCCCTGAACGTGCTAGGCATTTGCTCCCTACTGAGTGACCTCCTGCCACATGAAGAACCCAGAGGCTTTCTACCCCAGCGTTTGATGCCAGACTGTGAGCCCTGAGAGGCTTTAAATAGGGGCTCACGAGTCAGTGGGGCCCTGGGCAGCCTTGCACCCTCTGAAGAACAGCATCTCCGTGGGCTGGGATTCCCCCGTCCCTGGGGCCTGACGGGGAGGCTGAGGGCAGCCATGAGACCTGATGAAGCTGGGGCCGGCGAGCTGGTCCAGGCCCTCGCCGCGGGCCAGGGAGCAGCGAACCTCCACCTTCCTCTCTAATAGGAAAGCTGACTTCCTCCTCCTTTCAGGGACAAAACCCGAACTCAGAGCAGAAACCTCACTGTTCTGAGGAAGCTTATGGTCAGGAGAGGACGGAGTCAGCCTGGGCTTTGGGACCAAGGGAGGCTCTGCCCACGCAGCCCCGAGGATTTCTAAAGTAGGAGCAGAGGCAGCTGCGCCCTTCGCGCCCTCTTTTCCCATTGTCTCTGGAGCGGCAGCTCCCTCTGAGGGGCACGGCCCCTCCTGGGTGACAAATGTGTTTTCACTTCCTCCCCTCTCCTCTCCCCCCGCCCCCCCCCCACTTCCCTTGTTTTCAGAGAACAGCTGTCCGTGCCCTCGCATGCCTCGCACTTTGCTAGGAGCCAGATTCGAAGGCTGGGTGGGTAGAAAGGAGGGAGGATTTTCCAAGCAGGGAGGACCAAAGTGAAGGCTGTGGATGTGTTCGTGCCAGTTAGGAGCAGGTCTGGGTGCAGCAGAAGCCGAGTGGTGGGAAGGAGAGAGAACCCCAGTTGTAGGGGGGCTGTGAGCAGAACAGGAAGGGCCTTGAGCGCCGAGTCAAGGCCAGGGGCGACCCGATGTAATAGCCAGCGGAAGACCTCCGCCTCCCGCGCAGAGGAATGGTGCGAGAAGAGGGTGAAGGAGCAAGGACTTGGTCATCAAATGTGGAGCCACGAGGCTCTAACTCAGAGGATGGCAGCAGGGACAGAGAGAAACGGGGAAGGCTGTGTGCTGATGCCTGGGTTTGAGCGGGAAGAGCCCAGGATGGCAAGTCCGGAGCTGGCCTCAGCGGGCTGAGCGCCTCCTGGCTCCCGCTGGATTAACTGCTCTGTCTTCCTTCCCCTGCCCCTCTCCTGGCTGGTCTGCCTCGCTCCTTAACTGTACTTTAACCCACTAATGGTGGGTGTTGTCCCGCACCTGTCAGGGGATGTCCAGGAATGTGGCTCCCTGTCTCCCAAAAGGCGGGGAGCTGGCGCTGGGCTGGAGCTGCCCGGCCGGCCCCAGGCCCCCTCGAGGGGGCAGATCCAGGTGCCCGAGGCGCACCTTTCTCAAAGCATAGCCCCAGCCTCCTTCCTGCCTAACCCTTTTTCTGGACTCTGCTGCTTTTAACCAGCTTTTGGTTTCAGAGATATTGGTGTCCGATGGGGAGGCTGCTTGCTCTCTGGAGCAGGCCAGCTGGGACAGCTGGGCCCTTTTAATAGAAAGGCTTCTGGGCCCCAGATGATGGCAGATTAATCCTTCTCGACTTGTTGATTTCGCCTTCTGGTCTCCCTGCTTTTCGGCCTAATGATTCCATTTGCTGTCTCTTGCTTAGCTTACCAAGCAGCCGGTTGTCTCACCCCAGCTCTGGAAGGTAAACGCACTCTGCATTCCATTCTGTTTCTCTGACTGCTTTTCTCATGGGCCTGGGCCCCGAGGGGCCGCTGGGTGACGGCTGTCACACTAACCGGCTGCATGGGGGGAGGGGAGGCGGGGGTACTCACGTGCACATGGGTCTGCAGGGACCAGGGTGACACTTGCATGGCCTGCCGGGAAGGGGCACAGGGACTCAGGAAGGGACATGTGGGCAGGGGTCCCTGAGATGCCTGCGATGACATCTGTATGCCATTGGACAGGTGCCACAGGGACAAACAGGGGGCCACCAGTCACATGACCCATCTCTTCCTCTCCTCAGCTGTCATGATTTCTGACCACTTATCCAGGCCTGGCACCTTAGCTAGCTCCTCATCATGGCCCCTGCCCTTTATATTTTCCCCGTAGCCCCTCCGTCTCCATTTCCCTCTTCTTTCTCTGAGTCTCCTTTCCTTTCCTGCCTGTCCCTGCCTGTAGACCATGGAGTCTATAAGACCAGACAATACCACACACCTGGCCTCTGCGTTAGTGAATTCCCGAACCCTCTGAACAAGCGGCAGCCAAGGTTTGCGGTTGAAAGCCTCCTCTTGCCTCCCAGGCTGGGGACAAGGCTCTGCCCCTGGCTGAACCAACTGTTACTATCAAAGTGGGGATATTTCCTGGCTACTTCCCACCACAGTTTCTTCACGCAGAGGAAGATTTCTGAGGCTAACGGTTTCTGATAGCTCATCACCTCCACAGGCAGGATCAGCCCCCTCCGTGTCCTTGAAGAGCATGAACACGGAGAAAACTTGGTCCTGGGTGGCCCCCAGGTGGAGGAGGATTCACCCCCACTGGCTCAAACTGGAGACCATTTCCAGATGTGCGTGGCCCTCCTGGCTTTCTAGGGGACCTGGCAGAGCACATCCATAACTGGGTGGTTTGGAAGGAGGGACTAAAGGCTGTGGGATGAGAAGAGTGACACCCTATGAGACAGGACAGTGTGCCTAGCAACTCTCACTGTCCCCCAAATGCTGTCCAAGTTGCTTCCTCAGAGAGAGGGCCTTCTTTCCTCTAGCCCCACTGTGCCTGTGGTTTCCTGGCCTAAACATTGTTTATCATACAGCTTAGGACCGCATACAGAGATCTTCGGGTTTAGAGGATAAGTGTTCTTTTCCACTTAAAAGGAGGCTGAGCCAGGAGGATTGTTGGGAGTTTGAGGCCAGCCTGGGTATATAGTGAGAGCCTGTCTCAAAAAAAACAACCAAACAAACAAACAAACAGACAAAAAAAAAAAGAACAGAGAAAAAAAGCAACTACCAATTGTTTTATATCTAACAAGAGCATTCGTCTCTGCAATTTTTTGGGGAGGTAATTTCTTTGCTTTCTCACTTATCTAGTAGTTGAAGTGATTTTTTAAAAATTTCTTTCTTTTTTAATGTGGTACTGGGGATTGAACCCATGCTTTCACACATTAGGCAAGTGCTCAACCACTGAGCTCTACCTCCAGTCCTTTTTAAAAAAATTTCAGATAAGGTTTTGCTAAGTTGCCCAGACTGGCCTCGTATTTGTGATCCTTCAGCCTTAGCCTCCCAAGTAGCTGGGATTATAGGCATGTGCCACTGTGCCTTGCTGCTGAAATGATTTTTTT